TGTTGTTTAGACAACAGGTTTAAGCAATGCATGTAGTGAAACATTCTTTTGATTATTTGGAAAGCGAGATGTCTGTTACTGTCTTTTAAAAATTAGGGTAAAATGCTGGGTTTTCTAGCCCTCTTATTGCCGTCAGTTTATAACAAGCTCATGAATGTTTTTGAATGACCCTCGGTGGGTTTTATAGCAGCATCTACTATTAGAATGCCCACTTCATCAGACTCATTCACCCACGAAAGCTTATGCTCCAATACTTCTGTTAGTCTTAAAGGTGCCACAGGACCCTCTGTTGCTTTTTACAGATTCAGACTAACACGGCTACCCCTCTGATACTATTAGAATGTAAGGCGACCAGCCAAGAAAGCAACACAGAGATAAAGATTCTGCAGAAATTTTGCAGATTTATTTGGAGTGGGTGGAGAGAATTCCCTGATGAATATGGAAAAATTCCCTTGACATGTTTCTGGTTTCCACCTCATTACTAATCCTTGAGGCTGTCCTCTCCCTTATGCTCTTTGACTTTGCACATAAATGCACCACAGTTGCTAACATGGGAGACTCACTCCTCTCCGTGAAAGAATAATATACATAGCCCAGTTTTAGCGCAGTGGACTATTGGAGGACAATGTGGGACTTGTTTTCATACACACAATACTGTAGTATATGCAGAAGAGCGTTGAGATTTCCCTAGTCTGAGAAGGAATATCGAACAGTGGGATGGGATTAAAAAACGTGATCGGAGTTTATGTAATACTGTACCAATAAGGAAAGGGGGGGGGGAAGGCCATGTGTGTTTACAGTCCCAGAGAAGAGCGTTTACTCTGGTGTATCAATAGCCTTGTGTTGGGTTTTAGTGGCATAGAGTTTAGTAAATTAGGAGTTTTTAGGTACTTAGCACTTTAATGGTTCTCACTAAGAACATAATTAAACTCTAGACCCCTTAGGGAGAAAAAACAGTTTATTGTGCATATTTTTAGAAGTTGTTACCAACCCTGGTAGATACAAGCCAGAAAACGTGCATTAGCTGGAACTTAGAATTTATTTATCACAGCGAGCAGCCCCCACCAAATACCGCTTGAGAATCACACGTCACAAACCTGTCCCATGAATTATGGAATGAATTCTCCCCAATCTTATTTCAAAACACATGTGTGGTGTTTTTTCTTACTGGTGGAGGTGCAAGGCAGGGCTGTAGGTTTATTATTGTGTGTGGTGGGTTGACACATGCAACCATGCTGTTGCAAACAGTTTTATATTTAAAAAGTAAAACCATTTTGTGAGATCATCCAACATTGCGGCTTATTCTAAGACTGCTTAGCCAAGGTTTCCTCTCCATTTCAGTTATGAGTTTGTCTTGCAGCTGGTTAATTCAGTTCATACAGGGCTGCTGCAGATACTGAAGTGGATCACAATCACTATCTCTTGCTCAATTCTCTCAGTAGAACTTTTTCTTGGAAGCTCTCTAGGATGCATGAGGTTATGAATCAGCAAAGAAGTGGAGCTGAAGGTTTAATAACACCCCCAGACTAAACCCCCTTAAAAAGATGATGGAATGTTTCCCTCTTCCCATGGTTTTGACACTGATGCCTCTTCATCACAAAGCAGAGATGTTTACATAGGAAACAGTTGTGCTCGGAAAGCACTCAGCATGCCAGAATTACGCAGTTTTGCAGGTTTTCCTCTTAAATGCCAGCATATGCTCCATGTACCTTCCCCCAACCTCGACTATACCAGTGGGTATTCCACAGGTGGAATGGTTGGCGGGAGGTGAAGGAGGCAGAGGGGGAAGCCACCCCAAGCTCCAGTTGGCAGCTGTTAACTTGAACACACAAGGAAAACAGAGAAATTTCCCGGCGACGCAGGTGCCTGTGTGTCGGGTTGCTCTGACTCTGACTTGCTCTGGAACGCGACTTTTGCCTCAACACCCTTTCCTGAGTAAACACTCGTTTCTCACTGGAAAAGCTGCATAGCACTACACCCTTTTCCACAACCATATGGAATGCATTCCGAAGGAACACACACACACAATGTGCTCCTCTGGGCTTTTCTCTTCTTTTGCTCCCTCTCTTCTCCTCACCTATCTTTTAACTAATCTCTCTCTCTCTCTCTCTCTCTCTCTCTCTCACACACACACACACACACACACACACACACACACACACACACTTTCCTATTACTTACCATGTTTTAGTTACACAAGATTTATGGTTTCGAGAGGTGGCTACAGTGTTGGAGAGGAAGGTTACATTATTGATAATGTCTTGATAGGCTCCATATGCCTAAAACCGTTTCCCATCAAAAACACTTCTTTCCCTCCATCAACAAATCCTCCAAGGAGCCATGTATTCTTTGTGGTGCTGCTGCTGGTGCATTAGAATGTAGGTCCCTTGGGTCGGGGACTTATTTGACTCATCTCGCCTATTGCACAGCCTCTCATCTACCAACATCTGTGTATAGATATTGAAAACAGGAAGGAAAAAGTACTGTGCTAACATGAGCTGCATTACTGACCCCATGACAAATTGCTAAGCTGCATCTGTTCCCTTTTTCTCTTGTTTCTTCTTTGGGATGAGGATTATTGATAACGAAAATGGCCGCTCACCACTTAGTGTGATCAGGAGTTGGGATAAATATCAGAAAATCCATCCATGGAGTCTGGGCTGTCCCCAAACAGATGTACAAATGTCTCTTTAAGTCGGTGGCTCTCAACCTTTCTGGACTACTGTACCCCGTTCAGGAGTCTGATTTTTCTTGCGTACCCCCAAGTTAAAAACGACTTGCTTACAAAATCATACATAAAAATACAGAAGTGTCCCAGCACTCTATTAATGAACAATTGCTGACTTTCTCATTATTACCATATCATTATAAAATAAATCAATGGGACTATAAATATTGTACTTGCATTTCAGTGTATAGTCTATAGAGCAGAATAAACAAGTCGTTGTCTATATGAAACTTTAATTTGTACTGACTTCGCTAGTGCTTTTTATGCAGCCTGTTGTAAAACTCAGCAAATCTCTAGATGAGTTGATGTACCCCCTGGAAGATCTCTTGGTACCCCCAAGGGTATGCGTAGCCCTGGTTGAGAACCACTGCTGTAAGCTGTGACTCAGGCTGGGTCTACTTTACAAAGTTTTGCAAGCTTAGCTGTATCAGCTGGGAGTGTGAAAAACTCAGGCACAACTGTACCAACAGCAGAGTGCTTTCGTTGGCATAGCTAATGTCGTTCAGAGAGCTAACGTGGCGGTGCTGGCAGAACTATACCAGCAAACGCTCCGTAATGTAGACAAGCTCTCGGATGGGCGTGGTTTTGCATGGGACCCTTCTCCCATGTGCTTTTCCTTCCCCGACAGAAGGGGGCGCTTCAGAGACTAGGCTACTTCCCTGCACAGAAGAGGATGCACAGAACCTCTGTGGTCTGGCAATCCCTTGAGAACACGTTTCTCAACGCCTGAGTTTGATGCGCCCCACGCTGGCTGCCTTTCTCAAGGATCTAGGTATTTACACTTCTGGTCCTTGCAGAAGGTGAGGCAGTACAGCGAGTGAAGAGATCTATGCACGTCTTCACAGCACGCCAACCGCAAGATAAAATGGCAAGACCCATTTATCAGGGGGGAAGAGGGATGAGGGTGTGTGCCACCTTTACCTACCTTTGTCACTTTTAATTTCAGATTATTGTTTGCAGGCCTTCGACCACTTGTCCATTCCCCGGTTTTGCTGGGTAAAATTACACCCTGAAAAATTAACACTTTATCCAGTTTGGTTTTGGTTTAACGTCTCCTCTCTCTCTGTCTCTCTCAAGTCTGTCCTTTCTAAAGGGAAATGTATTGCCTAGCAGTTTTGGAGGCAAGGTGGAAAAAAACCCTTGATGAATCTCTCTGAAGTACTGGGGATTGCTTGTGAAGAACCAAACATCCAGATTAATTTAAAACAGCTCCCAAGTGGGGGGAGGGGGTCGAAGGGCCCCCAATGCCATTTCAAACCGATCATCTTGCTGAACCAGGATGTATGAACACCATGACCCTCTGCCCCCTTGTTGTACTGGACTTGGCAGCGTTCCTTGACCCCTCCGATTGCTCCATCCTGTCCCGGTGTCAAAGGAAGGAAGGATGCGGTCTCTTGTCCTGGGGGGGTTACAACAGCCTCAAACCCAGATAAAGCAACAGCTTTATTAATTCCAGCTTTGCTAATAGGGAATTACAATGGTTGTGGGATTTGGCAGTGGGCGCAGACTCCATTGCCATGTACAGTACAATATTTTCCCTGGATTGTTTGTATTTTTGATTTTGCTACAAATAATTTAAAGATGTGTTGTGTCTCCTTCAATTAAAACAGTGATTTTCAGCTATTGTGTTTGCTGTCAGGATTTTAAAACAATGGTAATAAATTTGAGCTTTTGTTAGACATGTTAAGGTGAATTGTTAACTCTGTAGCATTTTTATCGGAGGTGGTTATTAACAGACATGAGTTCGTTTTAGCCTGGGTGGTAGGATAAGCAGGTTTATTGCACTGGGTAGAAAACTCCCCGGTGTCAAAGAAAAAAATCAGGTTGATATATGAATAATTTGGTGCAAACACAAGCATCTTAAACTGACACCCCGCATTTGGAAGCATTTAGTTAGATTGTAAACACTATTGAAATAGAGCCCGCCTCTTTGAATCAGAAGACCTGAGTTCCTTTCCCTTCCTGGTTCTGTGACTTCCTGGGTTGCGTGACCTTTCCCTTTGTTCCTCCAGCTGTTTCACCTCTTTTATGATACTTATCACTTGTTTTGATTTTTTTTTTCCTCCCCAGTTTTTGGTTTTACAACAAGAAAATGCAAAATTTGGACTGAAAGGGAAATGGTCTTCAAAAAATTTCATTTGGGGGGGGTGGGGGGTAGGAGGTCGTTTTCCAATAGAAAGTTTCAACAAAGTATGTTTAACCAGCTCTTAGTAATGGTAGTAGATATGGAGGGGACTTGTTGCCACATGACACCTCTTCTTTACTCTTTCAGACCCAGCCAGTACCCAACCCACTAGCCTATTACATGCACCGGTCACCATGGTGGTTTCACCAGTTTGAGACGTTATGCAATCACTTCATCGAGCTGGTGGTGCCGTTTTTTATCTTCATGGGACGTCGCATGTGCATCATTCACGGCATTTTACAGATTCTCTTCCAGGTGAGGCTTTCCTGCTTTTGCCTTATTAGTGTCATGGCTGAGTGAGTGGTTGTTGGGGGCATTTGAAAGACTCTGGAAGCCTCCCCCTATTTTTATATGTGTTGCAACATGAACGTACAAGATCTAGGGAAATATACGAACAAAAATGGCGGTGGAATTGGATGATTCAGGTTAGGTTACTAGTTTGAATCCAGCCCAGGTTGATGGTTATTCAGAATCATTGGTTGACAGCTCTTGGGTGAGTTGCTGGCAGAGTGTCTGATGTCAGTGCATTCACTACAGCCAATGTTGTCCTCTCTGCCCATAAGATTGCTAATTGGTACAAGTGTGATGTAGATAAATCTGTAGGGCAGGGATCGGCAACCTTTGGCACGTGGCCCGTCAGGGAAATCCGCTGGCGGGCCGGGACGGTTTGTTTACCTGCAGCGTCCGCAGGTTCGGCCAATCACAGCTCCCACTGCCTGCGGTTCACCGTTCCAGGCCAATGGGGGCCGCGGGAAGCGGCGCGGGCCGAGGGAGCTGCGATTGGCCGAACACTGCAGTCGCAGCAGGTAAACAAACCATCCTGGCCCACCAGCGGATTTCCCTGACAGCCAAAGGTTGCCGATACCTGCCCTACAGATTTATCTACAGATTTATCTACATCACACTTGTACCAATTAGCAGAGAGGACAAGATTGGCAAAGGGATTAAAATGAAATGCTGACTAGGCCATGACTCCGATTGATGGAGGTGGTAGAGTTGAATGAAATTTCTCTATTTATCAAAAATAATTTTTTTTTATGAAAACATTTTTTTTTTCAAAATTTTCTATTCTTTGAAGAATATTGACAAATGTTAATGGAAAAATTTAGCCTGTTCGTCATCATTCAAAATGTTTGTTTCATTTTTTTGTAATATCAAGTTTGAGCACTTTATTTTGAAAATAAAAATGTTTAATGTAATAAGACAATCCATGAAAAATTCAAAAAACTGAAAATCATAGACTGTTTCTTTACTAATTCACATCTGAATCTTTCCCCTCAAATGTTTTTTAATTAAACACCAGCCATTCTGATTCTCAGATGTAACTTTCAGTTTTTGTTAAATACTCTCTGTTCAATGTCTCTTCAGCATTGGGAAGCTCATATACCGTAGCTGATGGTGCTTTTGCAAATACATGTGATATATAAACTGGAGAACAACTTATAAACTATCTGGGTAAACCACAAAAATGCTGATTGGATTTTAAAAGACTGACATGAAAGCAAGGGAATTTTGAGTTCATGATGAAATATCCCTGCCTTCCCAATCACATTCCGTCCCATCTAGGTACCACAGCACATGTGGCCTGTTTGCTCTCTTTACGCACCTTGTGGTGCTAGGGTTATTACATGTGATGCTTTATGAAGTCTCTCTTCTATGCTACAATCACCTGCAAATGGGAGCCAAGACCGGGACGTAGTATAGTGGGTTAGAAATGGATTTGTTTACCATTTGATTGGCTCTATACTGGAACAATCCAAGATCCCACTTTAAAAAGTAAATTCTATCCACATCAGAGTCTTTGACTGTAAGAACTTAATGCCCAGGTACATTTCACTCTGCACTGTTTACCCAGCAGTGCCCCCATACAGAACTAGTCAATATTCCTGTTGAAGCGTGATTGTTATAAAGATGACAATGCTGATAACTCTAGGAGGATGAAAAGATTGTTAGCTGTCTCTCATGCCTTTTATCCAGGTGTTGATTATTATTTGAGTGATATCCTGTCACATGTATTGTGCAAATATAGAGCAACTCTAGGCAACTGTTTGGAATTCCCTCTCTTGTTTTTAACCTTAGTGTGTTACGGTAGCCTCAGCCAGATTTATGTGGTTAAATACGATATTCTGTGGCTGCTGCAGTATATTCTTCAGTATGCTAGAAAGAATAATTTCAGACTCAATCTACATAGCTATGGCATTTCTAGGGTGCCTATTACTTTAGTACCTGAGCAGTATAATGCTTGCTGAGAAATCAGTACCATGTGCTTTGGTGCATAGGTGCCATTCTACTCAGCTCTTCCTAAATTACAGTCCAAGGAAAAAATGTAATAGATCTATGGACCTTATTGCTTGAAAAGACGAAATTTTCAGATAAGTACGGTCCATTTTCCTATTGTGGTTAAACACTAAAGGTTTACTAAGTAGCTCTTAATACAGAGTATTGATAGAAAACCAGCTCTTCTTAAGTAATGGATTGTGCAAGAAATCTCTCGTGTCAGTTCTCCTAAGTATTGATATTCAATCATTAGTGCTAGAGTGGCTTGTTAAAATTCAACCACTGGGCAGCTGATAGGAGCTGGAGTAGCAGCTTCATGTTGCAGGGGTGTGTGATCATTTTGTTCAGTTGGGATGCATGCATTTATTCAGTTGTAACAGCTGGGCTGCCCCCAGCTTTGGACTGGAACCATATGCAGAGTGGTGAGCCGTGTGCTTGGATTTGCTGCAAAACCACAAGTTCATTCAATTACGGGCCCACATTCGAACCTGAACTGAGTTTTGCATTTATAACAAAACCCTAAACCAAGTCAATTTTGTCTGGTTTTGAAGTTTTGCTGCCAAGATTTCAATGTTTTGCACTGCTTTGAGGAAAAAAACATTTTGTCATTCAAATCCCTCCTCCCAGCCATCCCCCATGAACCAAAAAAAGATGCACAAATATCTCTGCATTATCCCTTTGCTGGCTCTGGCTTACTGTATATTTGGCGTCCTCTTACATGTAAAACTAATGCTGAGCATCGTAGCAAAGAAAACGAATGCTGCCCACTCTACAGCCAGAACCAAACCTGGAGACAACCATTCTAAATTCAGCCTTCCTGACAGAGCCAGAAAACGGGCTAGCAACTTCTCAGATGACCCCCTAATGGGCAATGCAACCATTTGTATGCTACAAAATTTAAAAGGGGGAGCCACTGGGATCTGAAAAAGAAAGGCACGTACAATAAAGGCTGGTAATGACATAATGTAAGTGGGGCCATCTACCTGCCGTTTAGTTGGCACTTTATTGATAGTTTGCAATTACTGACCTATTTCTATCACAAGGGGCGTCTACAAGGGAAAAAGGGTCTCAGTGTAATAAGCAGCCCTGGAGCCTTTATAGCATTTCAACAAAAACCTGTTTATTTAATATTTACTGCCCCTTTCCTTCATTCAGAATGACTTTTATTGACAATACTTCTGCTCTGCAAAGGAAGCCATAAAGTTTAATGTTGATATACCACTTAATTCTGTTTTTCAAGATTTGAATTGACATTACATGCAAGTTTTATTGGACATTTTATAATTGTTATTGGAGTCATGGTGGCTAGGCTAAGTAAGTGTATTTTTCCAGATTCCAACTGGCCTGGAGAATATTGCTTTGTCGGGAGTCCCCCTCCCAAAACGGAGTGAATTATTCTTCTATTTCACGCTGTAATGAAAAGGTTTAGGGAAGAGGCTTCCATCGTTGCCAATCCTGCTAGGGAGATGGTAAGGAGCGTGTGATCCCAACAGAACTGAGGACTACACTCACGGGATGTGACTCGATGACAGAATTACAGTCCGGTTATGCTGTATCGTGCATTTATCATTTGCAATACATAGGATACCCGTGGGCGACCTACTGTGGGGAAGCAATTCAGCATCTCTGTCTGAACATGAATGAAACATACGCAGTGACTCTTGTAAATATAGATATGTAATATGCTCACTTTCCTCCTCTGTTGTTCAAATATTTGTTGTGATATATACACTGCATTTAAAGAGAAACTGACAGTGTTGGCTGGCCCCAGATTTTACCCTCCTCTCACCCCTCCCACTAAAAAAAATTTTTTTTTCTTTCAAAATATCCACCCCACCATAACTGAGAGGTTTCTTCCCTTCTGAAACCAGGGGCTGTAACAGGCTTGAAACCCAGAGGCTGGGCTGGGGGACCAGACAGCAAACTTAGGTCCTGTCCCTGATTGTTTCTTGGCAATGCACTGCATGCATAGATACAGCACCAACCCTTCCTCGTCGTGGCATTGTTCGGGTGAGCAAGGCAGAGAAGTTGAAATTGATGGGAATTGTATGTGCTAGACACCAGCCTACCCTGCAGGCTCAGAGAACTTGAACCAGGTAGGAAGAGTGAAGACCTGTGCTACACACCTACCATCTTCATGAACCCCATTGGTCTGATCCAACCAACCAGAGAGCTAAGATTTTAAGAATGCTTCAGCCTTGTAACTGCAGATGATGTTGTTGTTGCCTTTTTTTTTTTCCGTTGGGTGTGTATTTTTACTGTCTTGGGTGTGTTCTCTGGAGAAAAGGGAGTAAATTTTGGGCCCGTCCACCTTGACAAGTGTCCCTTTAACTAAAGCTGCCTCTTATTTCACTCTCTGGCTGGATTCCTAGTTAATGATATAATCCCCGTGAGCCTGAGGGCATCCCAGTGCCAGAGGGCAAGGGGCTCACTGGTATCAGGTAGTGAGTTTCAGCTGGCTGACCAGTTCAGTGTACCCCAATTCACTTATGACATAATCTGTACCTAGTAGGTGTCGTGTGAGTTATCATTAGAAAGCCAATAACACACGGATCATTACCGTTCCTGTGTGGTGTATATATGGTAAACGCCCAAAGGACTGTAAATGTGAAAGAAATATGGGACTAAAATGTGTTTGAACCAGACAAGTCTAGAGACTGGGTAAACAGGCTTTTTCCAGACAGAGGAAAGGCCAACACCTCGATCCAGGTGCAATGCCAATCACAGACAGATGGCCGTTCATTGGCATATCAGTGGCTACAGGGACAGATCCGTTTGCATTGTAGAAAGCCCCAGAGGGGAAGAAACCAGCATGGAACCTTCTCCATCAGACTCCATGGCCTCTTTCCCGACAGCAGGGACATTGGTCTTTGAGAAAGATACGTTTCAAAAGTTCAGTGAACCATGAAAGAGACAGGCAAAGAACCACAAGTGATCTCTCACCTAAGACGACAAAGGAACCAAGCCCTTTGGATTTG